TATGTTTTCAAAGAAAACAGATAATATAACACCATATTTTTAATTGCAGTTAAATTCTTTGATATTATACTTTCTACTAAATAAATAGATTTTGTATACTCTCAACAGAATCTACCAACTCCAATAAGTAAAAATTTTTAATGAAAACACTAACATAACCATTTGCTTTTTTTTTTTTTTACTTTCCACAAGTAATGCCTTTCACTCCACCTTTTCAGACTACACTGTTTTTACACATTAGTGTCTCCTTGCTAATTTAAGTATTTTAACTAAGTGCTTTAAGGATGTTATTTTTACCCCTGTAGTGGAGCTATAGCACTCCTTTCTTCTGAATTGTATTAAGATATGTATCACAAAAATGGATTATTTTAGCCATTTTAATAGTATGGTTCAATGGCAGTAAAGTAAAAGTAACGTAAAGGCCCTCCCGTTGTTCATCGATTTGCTCGAGCGGGCCCAGTAACATCTCCATTGGAGATTTTTGTTGTTACTGTGTTTGGCATATCGAATACATCACGGGTGGCTTGCCAGGCTCTGCCGTGCGGGCGAGATGGCAGTAAACTGTATAAATTGTGGCAGTATTGTGTAATCATCACCACTGTTCATTTGAGAACTTTCTAATAATCCCAAATAAACTCTTGCCCATTAAAAACAACTACTCCTGGTTTTATCTACTTCCAGCACAGGTAACCTATATTCCATTTTCTATCTATGGATTTGTCTGGTATTAGTGAAATACTAAAACACTTCTCCTTGTATATCTACATTATTTTAACTGAGTTTTCAAGGTTCATTCATATCACATATAACACATGCATATATATTTTAGAGTGCCATTACCTTTGTAGACTGAGTAAAATTACATTGTATGTCACTGCCCACTGTCCTCCCGTTGTTCATCGATTTGCTCGAGCGGGCCCAGTAACGTCTCCATTGGAGACTTTGTTGTTACTGTGTCTGGCATATCGAATACGTCACGGGGAGCTTGCCAGGCTCTGCCGTGCAGGTGAGATACTCTCGATCACTTGCCAGGCTCTCCGAGAGGGGCGGAGGAATCGAACTCGGGTCAGCCAGGTTGGCCGCGTGCAAGGCAAACGCCCTACCCGCTGTGCTATCGCTCCAGCCCATTGTATGTCCATGCCACATTGCATGTCTATGCTATATTTGGTTTACCCATTCATCTATTGATGAACATCAGTCCATTTAGAATGATTATTTGGTCACCCTAAATGATACAGCCAATGATGTTGGTACATCATTGCCAAGCCTCATTTTGACTTCCTCTCGGTAATTTTGAGTGTCCACCTAAAAATTTTGAGTTTCACTGCCAGACTTTATAGATTTCAATTTTACCCTTGTGGGTTACCATCAAGTTTTTGATTTTTTTGAATAAAATGCTGTGCCATTTCATATTTCCATCAGCCATACATATAACCAGGATTTTTAATTCTCTACATCCTTACCAGTATTTATACTTTTCAAGATTTTTTTAGCATGATCTTTCGAGTCATATAAAATGATACCTCACTGCTGTTTTGATTTCCATTTCCCTGATAAATAATGATCTTTTCATGTGCTCGTGAGCCATTTGTATCTCCACTTTGAAGAAATCCATATTGTTTTTGTCCATTTTTTCACTGGATTGTTTGTGTGGTTGAGTTGTAGGAGTTCCTTATCCATTCTAGATAGCAGTCTTCTATAGAGACACCTTGATTATTATGCCCCATTGCTGTATTCTTAGGGGTCTCTTTTATTGATAACACTGAAATTACTCTTATGCATCATTGCATCCTGTTAACTGACTTGCTCTCAAACTCCTAAGTATGATTTTTCTAACATTGTGAATTATAGATGCCTGCTTCAATAAGCATAAACTTCTAAAGTATACAAAGAAAGTTTTACTAAATGTGAAATGTCATTTTAGGAAATACAAAGCTAAAAAGACTTTCATTAAATTGAATATTCATTTTTATTACTTTTTCATTCATAGCAGCTATTAAACAACATGTCTCCTCAACTTTCACCATCTCTCACTCCTAGAATCCCTTCTTTTGGTCATTGTTGTTCTAGACCTCAAAGAGAGAAAAGGGTCTCCCTAAGAGGGATTCAGCACAGAGCCAATAAAGCCTGAATTTCAGAACCTCTTGCTTACATGAGCTCCTTCCAAGATCTTATACATAATTATGCATTTGCAATTTTTTTAAAATTACTTTGCAAATTTTATAAATTTCAGACCCACAAAATCCAGACATGCCCTGGATAGATTTCTTCCATCTGAAATCATTGTCGTGTTGTTAAAAAACTGGGTCTGTGATTCAGTAAATTGAGTTATTTATGAAGGGCTTTCTTCCTTGAAGTTTCTGATCTGGGATGCCAAGCCCCAAAACACTGGTCGTGGGTGTTTCTAGTCAACCCTGGAATGCTCTCTTGGCTTTCCCACTGACTTTTGTCAGCACACAGCACTTGTTTGGCTTTAAGCACTTAGAGGAACACTCAGGCCAAATTTTCAAAACTTGGTTGTTAGCTGTCTATGCAAAATATTCATGTCTTTCTGTAGTCTACACAGTCATAAATAAAGTTTTGAACATTCTTAATAGGAGCAAAGAATGCAATTTCTAGACTATCAAAGTCTTTCATTCAGATCATGATAAATAATAAAATAAAATATCAAATTTTAACAAGTTTCTTCAAGAAAAACTAGCGGGTAACTTTCCAGAGTGTCAGAGCCATAGAAGCCAAGAACATACAAAGGAATTATCTTGGATTAAAGAAGATTTCAAAGACATGTTAACCATGATTTTTAAAAATAAAACCCTTCATAACTGAGTCTACACTTTAAATTGTTTTTGTTTGATTAACTATAATAGATTCACAGTTCACAGTGTTTGCTCTCTGGGAATTTAAGATTATTTCCCCCAGGATTTTACTCGTGTACACAATTCATGTAATTTTTTTTTACTTAAAATCTCTAATCTTTATATTTAATGTTTAAATAGTATGTTCATAGAATTTATAATAGCAAATATTTTGGAAGAGGTTGTTTCTCCCCCCCGCCGTCATTATGATTGTTTACAATGGTGTTCTTAACCATGTAACTTAACCATGCTAACCATGTAACTTCAAACATACAAAGTTACTCACTAAGCCCACCACCAAGGACTAGTATTCCTCCACTAGTGTCCCTAAGTCTCCTCTTAGTCATCTGTCCCCAGCTCTCCCCCACACTTACTACCTTGGTAACCTCAGTTGTGTTAGAAGTTCTAGAGGAACTGAGGTTCCTTAACAGAACCATGAGTCCTTAACGTTTGTTTCCATTTCCATGATCTAGTCCCTTGTTTTGTTTTTTTCCCATGCCACATATGAGTGTCATCATCTGATATTTGTCTTTCTCCGCTGACTTATTTTGCTTAATATGAAATTCTCTTGCTCTGTCTGTTTTGTAGCACAATGCAAAATTTCATCTTTTCTTAAGTCACATTTCATTCTGTGTATATATACCATGATTTCTTTATCAATTTACCTTCAGCAAGGTTCTTATACGGCAAAGGACATTATCAGAATAATTAACAAATTTTGAATGGGGTCTGAGATATCAGCATTAAGTTTCTGATTTGATGATTGTACGGTACTTATGTAGGAGAATGTCTTTGTAGAAAATGCACATTAAAATGTTCTGAGTTTGAGTGATAGTACAGTGGATAAAGCGCTTGCCTTGCACAGGGCTGAATGAGGTTGAACCCAACACCTCACTGGATCTTCCAAGCCCTCCAGGAGAGATTCCTCAGCTCAGAACCAGGAGTCAAGCCCAGAGCACCACTAGGTGTGATCCAACAAAAAACAAACACTGTCCTCCACTGTTCATTGATTTGCTCGAGCGGGCCCAGTAACGTCTCCATTTTGAGATTTGTTGTTACAGTGTTTGGCATATTGAGTATGTCATGGGTAGCTTGCCAGGCTTTACTGTGCAGGAGAGATACTGTCAGTAGCTTGCCAGGCTCTCTGAGAGGGGCAGAGGAATCAAACCTGGCTCCGCTGGGCTGGCTGCATGCAAGGCAAATGCCCTGAGGGATCAATGAAGGATTAGGTTTACAAATGGTTAAGGGGGGGGGGAGGGGGGGAATCCTGACTGTTGTATTGTACTTACAGCTCATAAGAGTTTGAGAGTTCTTTCAAATTAAAATAAAGATTGCTAACATTGTTCAGATTTCCACAGTGCATGTGATGGCGGGTATTCATTGATAATGGTGGATCTCGCATGAAATTTACCTGGTGTAATTCATCGTATGTGTTTCAGCAGCTTGCAGATGCGTTTATCTACAACTTCAAAGCCAAATTTATTATTAGGCAATTCATTATCTAATCTTAAAATTCTTTCCTTATGGTTACTATTCTAAAACCCACATATCAACCACCATTGGTAAGGGTAATACTACCTTCTTTGACCACAAAGAAATTTGTTCTAAAAAGTATTTAAATAAATTCCTTGATGAATTAGGGGCAAGAATATGCTTAGAGTCGACAATCATCAATTCATCCTTCCATCTTTACTGTTTATCTGAGCTGAAAAATTTGATGTCTTCCTTGTAAGAAAAAATGAGCATATGTTTCTCCATCAAGCACAAATTATTATGTGGTTTCTTTTTAAAAATATATTCTTATTCTATACTAATTTTGGGAAGTGATTTCTGCCTACCTTTTTCTGGTTGAGCACTCTTAAAATTTACACACCCACTCGGGCCTAGGATTGAAATGGGATTGCGTTCCTCTGTAGTTGTTCATGACACTTCCTCAATAGTCCAGCAGGTGGCAGTCAAGGAGAGGCACGCCTCTCAGCCTCCCCACTCCCCAGCCTTTCGGTCAAACCGAAAGAATGTGGATACAGCACCTTGCCTAATGGGTACCATAGAGACCAAGAACCGAAAACGAACTTGTGTCCATATGTGGCTGTGCAGTAAAACCGAAATTTAAAAATTCTTTTTTCTGTCTGTTTATGATTCTAGAAATCCCACTGGTTTTGTATCTCTTTGCCCTGATTTCTATGACCTGGCTTTGGGGAGGCCTGCATATGGCTTACCGATACTTCTGGATGTTGATCCTCTATGTCATTTTCAACAGTCTGCAGGTAAGCTCTACAGTTTTGTTACTGATGGCACAGCAATGCTCATGAGCCCAAGGCATGGAGTTTCAGAGTGAAAGAACCAGGGCTCGTGGTCAATTCATATACCCAGTGAGCTCATATCATATCGAGTCATAGAATAAAATAAGGTAAAGGTAAGGTAAAGGCCCTCCCGTTGATCGTCGATTTGCTCGAGCGGGCCCAGTAACGTCTCCATTGGAGACTTTGTTGTTACTGTGTTTGGCATATCGAATACTCTCGGTAGCTTGCCGGGCTCTCCGATGGGGAATAAATATTTAACACCTGAAATATGGCTGGGATCTTAAATTTGCTCCCTGTGTAGATAGAGATGGTGTGAAATATTACCCTGCTTTATTTGGTCTCCTGGGGGCACTGCGTGCAGCAGTGTTCATGGACTACTGTCCAAGGCTCAGTGCTTCTCCCAGAGGCTGGGCAGTTCACGATTCAGGGCATATGCTCCCTGTGTCTCCAGCTTTCCTCATGCAAAGTATGTGCTGCTACCCAGAAGGCTCTCTTTATAGCTTCTACCTAAGTAACTAGTCAAATGTGTAAGAAACTAGCCAAAAATACATATTTCCTTTCAACAGAGTAGATGTTCACAAACTTTACAGGGGGTAGCCATGTCAAGCGTGTGCACATATTTGGACGGTGACTGCATCTGTAAGTTAGATCCAGGCATGTAGTAGAGATCAGTGTTCCACCAGCCATCTCTTTAAGTTTGCTGCATTGTGAAAAGAGTGTGTTTTAATTAACTGGGAAAAAAAAGATTGAAATCCTCTAAGTCTGCCAATGCCCAACTAAATTAGTGTTTTGAACTTCTTAAATAGTATAACTAGAAATTCTGTAGCATTAGTAATGATGAAAGCTATTTCTTAGTGTTTTTGTTGCATCCTAAAATTAACAAATCTAACAAATTAGCTCATTTTCTTTATTTTTTCCAAGGTAAAAATGTCTCCTTTGAACTAAAATAATGACTAGAGTTTACCAAAAATATCTCTAAAACTTTTCTTCTTTTGACTACCATCTTTGAAGGAACATGTATGGAAAAATACACTAAGATGGTAGAATAATAATTGAAACATGGCTCAAAGAATATCAAGGTTGGCGTTGCTTATCTGACAGGTCTACTAGTATCATATATCAAAGTAGGATGTCTAATCAAACCAAATTTCAAAACAGATTCCAAAATAGATGTCAGAAAGTAAAAGACTCCCTTAAATAAAAATTTTAAAGCTATTTGATACAAGTTATATAGACTCCTTTCTCTAGTTACAGTCATAACTTAGCAAGTACCAGGTAAGTAAAGATTTGTGAGAGCTGGAGAAGGACTTGTTTACTCTTCTCTATGCTTGCTATGTTGTAATTTCTTTTCATCTTCACTGTTACAAATAGTTTTGCTGTATAACTAATTGAACATGCTTCAGTTCAAAAGAAATACAGTTTTATTTTAACCAAGAAAAAAACAAAAAATAAGAGAGGTACTGCCAGGTGTAGCCTATAAGCATACAAACAAACAGAAAGAGACGATTTAAAAGGCATCAGAAAAAATCAATACCAATTTACAATGCCAAATATTCAAAAACATTTTAAAACGTGGCAGTTCATGGCACTGTGTGAAGAATTTGCTTACTTCTGCATTAAGCACTTATCTCTCAAGGCTTCCATCATTTGATATGATATGTTTTTTGTATTTTTCGGTGATCAAACTTACTAAAAATGTGAAATCAGAATGTGTAAAGCCACAGAAATAAAAACCAAAGGTCAATTACTTACCTTTGGTTTCTACAAAATGTCCTCATTACCCATTAGTTGTGCAGAGAAAATGCCGACAAAACTGATGTGGTAAAACTTTCTAATGAAAGTACCTGGAAGTCAGATGCTAACATCTGGGCTGAGCCCCAGAGGTGTCCTGCTCAGGTCAGAGGTCTTGACTTGAATTCCTGGGACCCAATGAACTAATGCCATCGTTCACACAGTTTGCTCACAGACACATTTAATTTGGTGAACATGTAATGGTCCACAAAAGGGGGGGTGTTTATTTTTAAATATTTGCTGCAGACTTAAAAATTAACAAAACTCATATACAATCTTGCATTTGGGGCATTGATTTTATAACTGGATATGCTTAGCTCATTATTTTCTTTTACCTGCTCGTGAGTTTTAACTCTTTTATATTTATTTTTAAAAGAAATGTGTATGATAAGAGTTGGGCATTTCAGGCAGCAAAATAGTGGTAGCTAACCCTGCATCAAGGAAGAGTCATTAATCTCTCACCATATCAGGCAAAGGCTGTGGAGTGGGTTGGGGAGGTTGGGGAGGGGGTGTTTTTTTTTCATTTATAAAGCTGGGAAAGGAGACAGAAAAGACGGGCTAACTTCACATGCTGTGGTGACCTGTCAGACTCTAGCCTTTAAACAATGGGAACCATCATACTTTTCTTTTTAGCTCGATTTTGGTTTTTTTCTTTTTTAATTTGTATTAGTTTAAATCTTTGTATGTGAATGTTCACGCCTACTTTTCAGAAGGATGAAGGGAAACATGTAGGAGGAAATTGGACAGCAGAACAGCCCTGGGATGGTAGGTGATGGTCTTAATCCAAACTGTAGATGTCCCAGCAATCCCCCCGAGACTGAGAGCTGGTGACAGGCTTGAGAAATTTGTCAAGATAAATATGAATAAAATGTTGTTAGTCGATTTCATGCAGGAATGAGAGCGCAAGGGAATGAAACCACCTAAAAATGCCTCAGTAGGGAAAATTGGCACTGCCGCCAGCAGTAAACATGAAGACCCAATCAGGAGCTGGGTTCTAGGGAATATGCAATAAAACTGGTGAGTTCGTGTTGTTTAGAAACTTTAGTAAAGGTACGGACATTTTAGAAAGCAGGTACAGGGAAAGTGCTAGTGAAAGCGCCATTAGTGAAAGAGAAACAGGATAGGGTAGTTTGGAATTTGCTAGTAGAAAAGAAAGCTTTAGAAGAAAGCAGTGCCTATGGGGAAAGTGACTTTATAGGGACGGGACTCCCTGATACAGCCCTAAAGGGACAGATTCCATGACATTGATATATTAGATTAGAAATAAAATTGTCACTCTTCCAAACTTGTACAGCAACTATCTTGCTGAAGCGAAACTGTAAATATGTTGCAGTTATTTTGTAGGAATGAGCACCCTGAAACCCAAGACACCCACCTCTTGTTCTTTCTTGTCTCTTCCCCTCAAAGTGGACAGAAAAAAACCATCTCTTATGTGGCAAAAAAAAGACAGTGGAGGGACCAGAACAATAATATAGTGGATGAGCGGTTGCCTTGCACGTGGGTGACCTGGATTCAACCCCAGGCATCCCATATTATCCCCCGAGAGCCACCTGGAGTAACCCGGAGTGTAGAACCAGGAGTAAGCCCTGAACACCACCAGATATGGCCCCCCAAACAAAACAACCCCAGCCTCCAAAAATAATATAGAACTTCCAAGGCCAACCTTCTTGCTGTGTCAATATTCCCTGAAATAAAGGGCCAGAGACAAAGCTCTTGTCTCTCCCTGCCTGTGTTACACTCAGATTTGCAGTAAAGCCTTGCCCTCCTTACGAAGCTGGTGTGGCAGCATTTGACTTTCTGATGCACCACACAGTGCACCCCCATCCAACTTCACTATCTCTCTCAAAAGTTGCAGAGAAGTTAAATAGGGTAAGAACTGAGGAACGAGCATCCAGTGCAGTGGATTTTTAGTGATAGCATGCAACATGAATGGCTTATTAAAACACTGAGTGTTTCCCTTTATGCCCAGATTTCCAAATGTAATAGATCTGGGTGGGATCTGGGAACTAACATCTCCAGGAACTGGTGCTGATGCAACCGGTCTCAGGGCCACAGTCTGAGAACCACCACGTAGGAGGGCATGGACCCAACCCCCCAAGTCTGCTCCCTGTCTTACTTCGGCTGAGTCATCATAGATTGTGGGTTTTTCTTCTCTCTTCTGGATGAAATGAGGAAGATGCCGTTTAGGATTATAGTGTGATTTAATGAAATGACATAATAAATTTAAAGTCATTGTACAAGTCTTCTAAAGAACAATTATTTTTCCTTAAGTTTCACAGCAAATGAGCAAAAACAGCTCAGATATGAGGGTTGGTTTAAAGTATTTTGCTTTGTCTTTCTTGTGAAATGAACCAACAAAGAAGGAAAAAATGGGAACTGAGAGGAAGGTCTTATTGCTATAGTAAGATGCTGGATAGGCAGGAAGAACATAGCAGAGAGAGTAGTAGTTTCAAATCACTGGCCTACTGAACGGTCTACAGAAATTTCCTGCCAGTCCTTAAAAACATTATTGATGCTTATCACATGATCTGTCTGGATCAAGTCACAGCACTATAATAAATATTGATAATAAATACGTGTACCCTATTCTTTCTGTTTCGGCCTTGGTGCTGCATGAAATATTTCTCTGATTTTCACTGGTCCACAGGTATGGAAGGCTGAAATCTTCGAAGTTGGAGGAGGTATTTGAAGAAGAAGTTGAGATATTTTAATTTCTGTGAGCTAGGAAAAGAGGGAAGGCTAGGTGAACATGAAAAACTTTCCTAGAAATAAAAGTACGGAAAGTTGGAATCTACATTTTATGCCCTGTCTTTTCTCCTAAAAAGAAATAAGAGCAAGGACATTTGTTGGGAGAAATTCAAAAGTCGAGGGGAAAATAGCAAGAGACATAGGGCCATTTCTAGGTAGAAGTGAATATTTCGTGGAGAATTGGAAGAGTCCAACTGATCTGCCTAGAAAAGTCATGAGCCGAAGTAGACTGTGCACAGACCTGAAGTCTGTGATTGACTCAGGCAGTCAATCGTAATTACATTTGAATTGAAACCCTGATATTAAGATGGTAGCCAGTAGGGGCTGGAGAGATAGCACAGCGGGTAGGACTGTGCCTTGCACGCAGCTGACCAGGCTTCGATTCCCAGCATCAAATATGGTCCCCTGAGCACCGCCAGGAGTAA